GCTAGAAAAGATTCAGTCACTGAGACAGGGGGGCTTCCTTAACAACACCCTGGGGTGGGGTGGAAGTAACTAAGAGGGCAAAAGGAATCCAGGAGGGGTATAACTGTTTTGATGAGGACCGGAATCGTGGGGATAAACTGTAGTCCCGTTTATAAATTCTCACTCGCAATAACGCCCCGGTGAATTATGTTTGGGTAGGGCAAAGAATATACTCCGCTGAAGAAATACGGACACTACTCGTTATAAACAAATATTTGTGCTTTATTACATGTAAAGCGTCATTGAAGTGCTTTTCTGTGAGGTGTTTCGATTCACTTGGTGGAATCCTCTACTTAGTTAATTTCGTTGATAGTCTAGATGGAGCAAATTCCAATCAAGGGTCGGAAAGTAATCCGTGATTGTTTGTTGTTGTCGCTTTTTTTATTCGTTTTGATTGGTCCCGCAAATTTGCGCCATTCTCTCAACCAATCAAAAGCAAAACTGATACCAGTCACGACTTCGTCGCCCGCGTTTTCCCGCGCTTTAGAAAGTTTTGTCGGTTGTACTCTGAGTTCTCATTGGCTCTTTAAGGTATTTTCCTTTCTTCTGATTGGTCGTTGTGATTGTTATGGTTTCGGTTTTACGACAGTCAGTCGAAAAGCGCTCCAATGTATTATTGAATGATTCTGTGTTTAGCTAACTCCATTCAATAGATGGTTGGCTCCACCACCGAGCTTTTCGATAGCTTCAATTTTTTCGCCAAATTCTATCTTTTCCTTTCGAAGTCTTTCCCTTTCTTCAACCAATTGACCCTGTTAAAAGAACAGTGAAACTGATTTCAGTACATGAAAAACAAGCAATCAACACTACGAAAATCAACAGCAGTAAACTGACTTTGAAAAAAAAAAATGCACAACCAACGATAGTTCAACACGTATTCTAGATGTGGCAAATACAGTACAAGGTGGTACATTACAAAAAAAGGACACAGGAGGAACGCTACAAAACTGCAAAATCACACCATAATTACAGGAATAAATAACTGTACACACAGTAACAAAGCAAACCGAGTGAAGGCACATAGCAAAGTCTCCCTCCAAACCGGCTTAGTAAACCGCTGCTGTGACTTAACCTAACCTAAATTACATTTAGCCTCGTTTCAAGTAAGCAAAAATAAATAAATATATTAACGGCAAGTCAATAATTACTAAAGATTCCAATACAAGTTGTGTTGGAAGGCTATAAAAAATCCGAAGTGCAACGTAAATAACTGTTAAAAGATATCAAAATTAAAATCAGCAATCTTACAAAATACCTTTTCCAATTCTAATCTATGTCTTTCCTCCTCAAGTTCTTGTTTCCGTGCGTTTATCCATTCCTCGTTTTCTACTCTGTGTTTGTTTATCATGTCCTCCAGCTCCTTTTGAGTAAGAGTATATAAACATAATACGCCGATCTATTCAGGTCTTAAGCTCCTCCCCCCTCCCCCCCTCAGGCAACCCAAGTGCAGTTGACCGTCATCCGTGACCGGGGGTTAGGGGGATTTGGACTGGAAGTGTCAAATCTTCCGGCGGAATACATGTGTTTACCTTTTAATATAAAAGTCTTTAAAGGTAAAGAGAGTTCAATTTCGCGAGCTGGTGGCTCAGAAGAGAAGGTCTTTAAAGGGTATGTCTTGAAACTTGGTTAATGAGTGGAAAGTCATAGTTGCTGATTTTGCCTTTTAGAAAATCGACCATCAAATACGACACTTTTCCCCCCGGAGGGGGAAGGAGGGCAAAAATGTTAAAGCTTCGAATTTATCGACGCACAATTTAAGCCGCACCTTTCCTAAGCAGAACGAAAACAACGTAAATTCATCTAATTAATAATAATAATGATAATAATAATAATAATAATAATAATAATAATAAACTGTATGGTAATAAGTATCGAGAAATGATGATAATACCATAAAGTCAGCTTTTACCTTCTGTTGTTTCTCATACAACTCAATATGTGATGTCCTTTCTTCTTGGAAAGCTTCCACCGCGTTCTTCAACGCTTCCCTCTGTCTGAAAAAGACGCACGAAACAGGCATGAAAAAGGTTGTGCTGTGTATGAAGAATCAATTTTACAGCGCTGTGAGTGTTTGATAGACAAACTCTTGCGACGCAGAGAGGTAGTCTTCAATAACAAGACCTGAATCCGTTAGTGTGCCTCACAGAGAAAGTTTTAAGAATATACTTCGAACAAAACCAACTCTGCATTCAAGTTTGACGTTTTACGATCGGGAAATTTAATAGGGACGTCTTAGTAAGCAACATGAAAAAAAAAGTCAAATTCACGGAATTTCACGAACTACACCAATCGCACAAGCTGCCAAAACTGCACCAAAAGGAAATCAAATAAGGCAACAACACTAAATACGCAAAGCACAACAAATCCAGCAGCAGCTTCAAATGCCCAAATTACCGCAACATCAAGAAACTACACCAAGTGCGTCAATTTCATTAATCATGCCAACCACCGCAAAAACACTTACTATATCGCACACAGATAGTTCCATATGCACTTTCTACAAGATCTACCACAACCGCGCTATGTGCATCAACTTCATCAACCACACAAACTATGGATTTGCGTGAGCTCAGTACACCAACAACACAACTACAGCACGAATAGATTTCTCAAAGTCGGAAATACTAAATGCAGTTATATCTTTGGAAAGTTCAGGAGTGTTTACCTGTACCAAATTGTACGAGTCATCATTCAAGTATCCTATTTACTGATACGATTTTTAAAATGAATTCCTTAGAACCAAAATTTCAATTTTTAATTGTTTCTTATCAATTTAATCTCCCTACACTACCAGGGATCAACTGCGGTGCTCAAAGCCGTTAACCGTGCGAAAATGTTTGCATTAGTATACTAGTATCACTAAAAAAACAAACCTTAACAACAAAAAGCAGGTACACAAAAAAACACACACAAAGACTTACGTTTGAACCTCCGCATACTTGTTTGAAAGATCTTCAAAAATCTCTTCAACTCGTTTGGTGAACGACGCTTTCACATCATCAAACTCAGGGGGTTTAGCAGGCTACACAATCAATAAAATACGCTATCAGTTTTGGAGTTCTGTAACAGACCCTGCTCAGCGAGGCAGCACTCCAAGTTGCAAACGTTTTGGTCGCCATGGCAAGTGGATAACCGCGCTTCGTTCAGTGGCTCGTGTTTAAGAGTCCCAGACGGCTTTGCTGCTGGTCAAGGGTTCAAGCCCAAGATCGGACCAGCACTCAGGGTCTTAAAATAACTTAGTAGAATATGATGCCTTTGGTATGACATCTGCAAATGATATTAGTCATTTTTACAGTAGTCTTCTCCGATAAGAACAGTAAACCGTGGGTTCCGTCTCCTGCATCTTCCCTATCAGTACTGGTTAGCAGGGGTCATTTAAGGAGCCACGCACTCCGTGCGTAGGGTAGACAGCATAGCTCCCGGTATTATGGCCTGGCCTTGTCGATGTTTGCACGTTTCAAAAATGTAAGTATATAGGAGTCCTATACAGAAAGAAGTGGGGCAAAAGAGGAAGAAGAAAAAAAAATTGGCGACTAGACTTGCAGTGAAGGTCCATAATTTTTGTGTGTTTTTTTTTTGCAGACACGAAGAAAGCTGCATCAGTAACATAGCGTCGTGTTTGTGTTTGGGACTTGAGAGGAGATAAACATTTACATGAAATAATATTAATGTTCCGTTAATGTTTTTTAATTTTTTTTGTTCTTCCTCCATGGTTGACCTTGGGATATCACATTAACCCTTTCACTCCCAAGATCTCATTGGTAATTCTCCTTACTGTCTCCCATACAATTCTTATATCAGTTCGGAGAATTTGGTATTGGATCAACTCATAACCCCTTAACTGATATTTTTCTTATTTCTTATCACTTGAATTCTTGAAATAGTATTGGTATTGTCAGGAGAAATTCTGTATTGAATCCTTACCTCGGTAACCGCAGGAATAACAGGTCTGTACGGTGCAGGAACTTGTATCGACAAATCGTAAGATGTCGGGGGGCCTAACATATCACTACCGCCACTGAAAAATATATCATACTATAAATAATATAATACTACAAATAATAAATACTAAAAATATATAACATACTAATTTAGTCACTACCCACTCCCTTAGGGAGCTTTTGAGTTGTTGTTTTATGTCTCACTGCTCACGTGACCATGAGCTCACACGTACAAAAAAGTAAGTTTTCCTTGTGAGAGTCTGTTGAAAATGTGTGATAATTGTGTCGTTCGTCTTTAGGTCAAAACAAACAGCTCGAAATCTCACGCAATCTATCGCAAACAAACCAGAGTGTTTTGAATCGTGGGGATTGTGGGTGAGCGAAAAAACCCTTCCGTTGCAGTAAAAAAGACTCAGTTGACATGATTAGCAAAGTCAGTGGGCGATATATCGCGATCACCCTCAAGGTGACGGACAGCCTTCCTCACATTGTTCCTTGCTCCAGAGGAGTTAGTCACACGACCAAGTCGCTTTATTTCCTTCCACCACTCAGACGGGGAGCACTCCTTCAGATGCTCGGCGCTCATTGCAGTCAGATCGACATTACGTGTGTTTATGATTGCTACGATTTCGCAGGAGTCTAAACCCAGTATGATCGCCTTGATTGCGAGCTCTTTGGCGTTTCTTAATCAGGTTCTTGAGGGTAGGGCTGATCTAAAGCGGTTCTGTAGGTTGCAGAGTTTTGGTTCTCAAGGAAAGCACAGAATCAAGTCCAGTATCAGTGATAGTTTAAAGCATCGATACCTCTTCTTCACATGAGTGTACTGTGCTAACTATGGCTGGAACATCAACCCGCTCAAGATAAATCTGCATTGCGTAACGATTACTAATCCTTAAATCTCTTGAGAAGATTGTTTATTTTGAAAATAACAACAGCAATAATAATCATTATCATCATCATCATCATAATAGTAATAATAAACAAACCTGGACAGAGATGACGACAGTACGTCTGTTTCTAAAAAATTCAAAGAACAGTCAGCTTTAGATTGGAGTAGAGAATAACTACCAGAATGTTTAAAAATATATTTTTCTCTATGTTCTTTTAATGATTTCCGCAATTTTCCAGCCTCACAGGAGGAGAGAAGACTACGCACAGCCAAAACTAAAGGACTGAGTATTCTGCAGACAAGTTGCAAAACCACTCCCATCCCGAAAGAAACATCCCTGTGTTTTTAACTGAAGTAATTTAGTAACTTGCCTGTCATTTCTTGGGGGAGGTACTTCAAGGCAGCACGTGTCTGCAATATGCAAACATCATCAAAATCCTTCTGGTCATCCATTCCGCCAAAAATTATGAGCTGGAAAAGGAAGAAAAAGAGAATAAATCAATATCAATGATCTGCGTGAAACCTTTCTTTCTTGATGGGGCACAAACCTTTTTTTTAGCTTCTTTGCCAAACATGAGGTTAAGTATTTAAAGCTTTACCTGTCCGTAAATCATCACAGCAATATGCCCGTGTCTTCTGTCAGGTCCTTCACCGGAACATTGAAGTTTCTTCCATTTCAGTTTAGCTGAAACGGGATAACGTACCCAGGTATAAACAACAGCTCCCATTTCACTTAAAAATATGCTTGGATATTTGTCTACAAAGACTAACGATTCTTATCATAAATCTACCG